ACACACACACACACACGCACACACATACACAGACACACTCTGTCTTTTTCAATCTCGCTCTCTTTCCCCATCTTACCATCTTTATGTCTGCGTCCCTCTAGGAGCTCTCTGTCTGTCTGTCTGTCTGTCTGTCTGTCTGTCTGTCTGTCTGTCTGTCTCTCTCTCTCTCTCTCTCTCTCTCTGCCTCCTCTCTTCTGCCTCCTATCTCTCTTCCTCTCTCTCGATTTATATATATCTATCTCTCCTCCCTTTTCCCTCTCTCTCTTTCTATCCCTGTTTTCGTCTTTCTTTACCTCTCTGCCACCCCCCTCCCTCATCCGTGCCCCTGGACCTCTAATTCTTGCATCCATCTTTTCCACTTTCCCCTGGAGATATTTAGGGGGACGATTGATTCTGAACGTGCAATGAGAAGGGAGTGGCGTCGAAAAAACCTGAGGTTCAGCAGCTTGCAAAAAGAAATATTAAAAAAGAATATTAATTGATTATGAACGAAATGATGAAGGAAGAGACGTCGCAAAGAATGCAGTTATCCGAGCGGGACAGAAACAGAAATAAATAAATGAATAATACAAAAGACTTCAACGTGGAAAACGAATGAGTTTTTAAGATATATTATGAGTGTGTGTACGCTAGTGTGTTTGCCTTTTTTTCAACTTAAATAATAATGGGAAAAAACTCAGATGGGTTTCAGAAATAGATGGCAAAAACCACTACTGGTTTTAATGAAGAAACACTGAAAGCTCATTGAAAGAGGAAGAGGAAACTATAAAGATACATTCTGATAAACCTAGTCTAGATTGGGAAAACACAAAAACCTTTCATAAAATCTAGACGGCGCGTCGTATGCGTTTTTCTTCCCTCCCCCCCCTCCCCTTCCCTCTTTTTGTCTTCCAGGTAACACGGCACTTCATAGATACGTACACACTTCGTTTGTCATTATGCTACGTAAAAACATTGCAGCGTCTTCTTTTTTTGTGAACGTGCAAGCAATCTTCAATTCTAAACTCTTGTGAACGGCTAATTTTGCCATTTTAAAAAATCTTCGCAAAAGGCATTACTTGGAACTTATACACTCTTCCCAGCTTTTGTTCTTGCGTCACTCGTGACTTGCAGGAATTTGTTATAACCCGATACTGTTATGGAGCTGTTTGTCTTTGAAATCTCAGAGGGAATACGGCATTAGTCACAGGAGAGTTGTTGAGCACTGCTGCGCTTCCTTCTTATATCCAGATTGACTACTACCGTTCAACTCTAAAGGTGCAGTTATTTTAAACCCGCCACTAGTAAATGACTAGAGTGGTCATTTCGGATTAAATTTTTAAAGAACAAAAGGAGACAGGCCAAAGACAAGATCAAAACAGATAACGGCAGATAAGAAAAAAGGGACTTACACTATTTCCCTCTATGCTCCCCAATTGCGTTAAGGTTACACAGCTTATCATTTTGTAAACAAGATTGTTGTGCATGGCTACTTTGAACTTTAACTCTTTGAGGACGCACAATCTAGTCTTTCAACATTGCTTGAGGACGCCCCACTTTAGAGCAATTACGAATAAAAAATTGGACATTTCAAATTTGTTATATATACACATTTTTCAGTTCCCATTTTTAAAAAAATGTTAAACTTAAAGAGGCATTAACTACATGTATAATAATAAAAATGTTAGTGATATTGATTTATGTATTCGTATGAGGGTTTGAACTATGCTACAACGCTGCTTTTGTACGTTCCAACATGATATTATGTGTCTGCTACGTCTCTCTAGATTTAATGCATACGCTTGTTGACTTGGACCACGAGAGAGCCCTTTGTGGGCTAAATTTAGGTTCAGATCAATACACTCAATACTTTTTAAAATTATACAAAAATTCAAGGTTTGGGGCAAAATAGAAGAGTTAACATTTCCACAAAATGACAGTGCAGTGGATTAGTTCAAACACAAAAACCAGCCAATTAAAACCTGGCAAAGTCTCAGAATAAAGACCAAACAAAAGTAATACAACCCCGTACGTTGCAGTTTATGTATAGTCACCAGATAGAACAGCAGCTTCTTAGTCTATAACTTTAGATCCCTGTTTTGGGGGCTGAATTTGTATAGGCCTAGATGATCTTGAGCGTGTTTTTCTACGCTTTATTATTAAGCCGATTCCGCAACTTTCACTGAAAACGGCATCAAGGAGACCTCAGAGCAATTAGGAGAGCGACGTTCTGCCCCATTTCCTACTTATATTCCACGTCACCATTGTTTCAATTTTTAAGTGTCCGAATGTGTAGCAATGTGTTTATTTTATCTAAACATGAAATATAAATAATTTATTACATGAGTTGTGGTGGTAGATCTTGATTTATCCTACGAGTGAAATTGCCAAGTTGTAATCACGAGTTTCAACGAATGATTACAACTGGCAATTTCACAAGTAGGATAAATCATGGTCTACTACCGTAACGAGTGTAATAAGTTTTTACACCACACTGATATCAGCTGGTGACATAGATACGAACCAACATATTTCAAATGGCCAGCCAATTGGTCAAAAGGATCCATTCTAGAGTCTAACATGAAAACAAAATTTTCATGCTCGTCTGGGTCAGAGTGAGGATTGTAAAAAATCTGGATCGTTTTCCTTTGTTTTCAGCCACGCTAATTTACATGTTGTGCAGGGGCGGCTCATGGGGCTAAAAAGTGGGCGTGCACAATTAAACTATAGCAGGTTGAAGATAGTCAAGGGCATAGTAAATGGATGGTCGCTTTGATTTCTAGAACTAAATCTGTTTGCTGAACATCAATTTCTTCATCCTGCATTGAAACTAAACGCTCAAGTAATAAATTTCACCACTCCACTACGAAACCATTAGGCACAACTCACAGGGCGC